CACCCGCCCTGCCATGGTTTCAACCTTCTAGTGCTTCTGCACTCTGGTTTTTGAGACCTCCCCTCATCCCCAGACTTTTCTTTCAGAATTGTTTTACACCATTCAAAAAAACCCTTCCTAGTACGCTCACTGCTTCATTCAGCCACACCAAACCCCCCTGAAAGGCGAGGGTCTTATCCAGTGCATTGCCTGGGCAGGGAGTTTCCACTGACTCAGGAGTAACCAGTCGCAGAGATGAGCCAGGAGTAGAACTCAGGGCCTCCGACTTACTGACCCACCAACCATGCTCTTTTGAACTACACTCATGAGAGAGCTGGATACAAGTTACAAATGATACAACCAGGAATTAAATCTTGGGTCAAATAGCTGCCCATCCCATCGAGTGTCCTGCCTCTAACAACGGGCAGCATGGCATGCCTCCGGATAGTGTATAAGAAGCCTGACGTTGTCCATTATGGAGTCAACTTCCTGTACCAAGTTACTAACTCACTGGAGGCAGTGGCTGATTATGTTGTGCGGGAGAACCCATCCATCACTCTCCTGAATGCTTGTTTCAGCTGCAGCTACCGATCTAGCCCCTCGACCACATAGACGCGTTGTGTTGTTGTTCAATGGTTAGCTAGGAAAGCCGAGCTCCAGAGTCTTATGGAAACAGCAGGGTCAGATCATCACTCCAGGTCACTGTGTCCCCAAAGAAGTCACCTGAGTCTCTGTCCATGTCTATTTGTGCATAAAGACTCAGAGTAGCCCAACCTATTACCAACCTGGACTCTGGCTGAGATTTGTCAGAGTTTTCTCAGGTCTTTCCATGTCCAAAACTCAATTATAATTTTTTTGGGAGAGCAGGGTCTGCAGTTGAGAAATAAGAACATAAGAACAGCCCTACTGGGTCAGACCAAAGGTCCATCCAGCCCAGTATCCTGGCTGCCGACAGGGGCCTGGGAGGTTCCCATTTAACAGAAATATGTCCATTCTTATTCATTAGCATCTAGTGCCGACTTATACACCTTAGAAACTAAACGCTGCACTTGGATGCCCTGCAGAGCCAGTTTGCTTTCTCAGATTAAATCTTACTGAGGGTATTGGCATGATTCCCATAATGTCCACTCTTCCCCCTGTAAACGTCAAATTTCAGATTGAACCCTGTTAGTCTGACAGCCTTGGAACCTGACCAGAGCTGAAGCAGAGAATTTGACCACAGGAGGTCTGTATGGTCTAGCAGCGTTACCAGCACTGCCACTGCTTGCTGGGCCCTGAGACGAAACTGAGGGGTAAATGAGAGCTAAGTAAAAGCACAGAACCCTGGGAGCCAGGCCTGGTGGCTGTAAACTAACTTTATGAGACTGTGGGAAACTTGTCCACATCCAACTCACTAAAATCTCACTGGACCCGGCTATTGCTAGCTGGGTTCATTTTGAACCATGTGTTTGTGAAAGAAGCATCCTGAAGCTGTCATGTTCTTCTTTTTCACAGTCAAGACAACCGAGTCATTGTCCCTGGAGTTTACTGATCTGTTGGCTTTACTAGAAAATCGCTAGGGAACTGCGGGGTGTACAGGTCAAACAAGAATAGCAAATACCCACAATGGATCCATGGGACCTGCATAACACGTGAGAAAGCAGAGAGACTGAAAGATCCGGTGGGAAGGGCCATAGAGTGGGACCCAGAAAATCGGAGACAGTTCAGGAAACAGATGTTCTGTGGGGTGCGTTTCTCAGCCCCAGCGCCACCTTTCACAGCAACATGGAGGGGAGACTGTTGGTCCCTTATAGTCCCAGGTGGGTGTTTGATTGGCTCGCTCCCCGGCCAAAAGACAGATGATGTCACATTTCCCACCACGAGTACTCACTGGTTGTCAGGGCTCAGCATGAGAAAGGACAAAGCACATTAGAAGCATTAGATGAAGTTTGAGAACCAGACAGACCATCAGCTCAGGCAACAGGCAACAGAGGGAGGCACAGATTGGCCCAATGGATACAGGTTAAGATCACCCACCACCGCACTTGATTAGCATGGAATTGTAGGTCATTCTCCATTGGCCGTGTGGGAATCTCCATTTTGTCATTCAGTTCCTGCTTGTTTCTTGTTCCGTGATTTCTCTCCTGGCTTTGCCAGCATTCACAGCAGTTAGCCCATACCCAGTGACCTGTTTTCCGACGTCCGTATTCAAATGAGCCCTCATAGGAGTTCCCAAAGGCACCGCTAAACCCGCCACTGCCAAAACCAATCCCAGCTCCACTTCCTACACCTCACCAAAAACCCTACTTCCTAGAGCACGCCCAGGTTGTATAACACCCCCACGACCAAATCCAAGATCACCTCCTAAACCACCACCACCAAAATGAACCCCAGCACCACTTCCTACATCACCACCAAAATTCCCACCTCCTAGAAAACCCCCAAGACCAAGTCCAGGATCACCCTCAGAACCACTTTTTACACCATGATGAAAAACACCATGTCGGTGGGCAGTAAATCCCAACAGGCCACCTTCTGAAGAACTATAGGACACTCATGTGCATTAGACCATGCATCGATGGCATCTTCATATGGGTCTGCTGGTTTCTTTTCTCCTCCATTTTTTAGTTTCCAAAGCACTAGGTGAAAGTCTCCCCTGTGCTGAGGGTCCTATGAAAAGGGGTGGGGTGGGGGGGGCAGGAATCATTTACCTTGTTCCACATATCTCAGATAGAGTCAAGCTAAATAAACAGCTCTCCAAAATGGGACTCTCTCAGCCTCTGGACTATCATGCAAGCCACATGCCAGGGCGCTGAACACACTGCTGGTGTCCTGGAGACATTAGAATTCACATGATAACTAGGACAACTATTAGGAACTGGGCGTGCCTCATTCTCCTTCCGCTCTTTCCACTGCAGTGGCCCTGAGCAACTGAATTCAGCTGTGAGCGTCAGTCATTGTACTGTTACAGTAGAAGGTAATAACTGCCTGTTCCACATGGGTGCTGTGAATTACAGGTCTCATAAAGGGGTGAATCCCTAAGCAGGCATGAAGGGGTCAGGCGGCTGTTTTGCTTTGTTTGCTGCTGCCATGTGTGAAGCTCTAAGCAGAGGGATTAGGAAGACCAGGAAACAGGGATTTTCTCTATGCTTTCTTATAATCCCAGCTACATCTCGATTCCCCAGAGCCGGGACTGTGTATATTCCTCCCCTCATGCCAACTCCAACCCTAACTAAATGTATGCCTCTGCAGTAACTACCTATGATTCACATGTAAGCAGGATCGGAAGGAATGCTTCTCTTAGAGCAGAGGGACAGACTTGGGAACAAACCGTATGTAATAGACACAGCCAGTTTTGCTTAGATTTGTTAACTATTCAGCAAGTGGAGTGCAGTTTTGCTCACTGTAATTAAGCTAATTTGTGGCCCTTCTTATGTTTTTATGAGAGATGACACCTGAGCAGAAAAGAACGAGATACATCCATGGTGGATAGGGCCATCAACACTTGTTAGGCAGGATGGGCAAGGATGGTGTCCCTGGCCTCTGTTTATCAGAAGCAGGGAATGGATAACAAGGGAGGGATCACTTGGTGGGTCCAGGTCTGTTCACTCCCCTTGGGGCACCTGGAATTGGCCATCTGTGTGCAGACAGGACACTGGGCTGGATGGACAGTTGGTCTGACCTAGTCTGGCCGCTCTGATGTTCACACAACACCAGCTATGTTTGCATTAAATGCAGGGATCGCTAAAAATATTAGGGATGGGTTAAAAAACGTAAACATATAACCGAAAAAAATCCTTGTGGTTACACACACCGCGGGCTCTGCAATATAAAAAGTGTTCCTGGGACAGATGGGGAGCTGCTCCAACCCCTACTGGTTAATTGGAACTGGTAAGCAACACCCGTTAATAGTGAGGCTCACTGATCAACCAATTAGCCATTTACATCCCTATTAACAATGCTTGGAATTTTGTGGGAATAGAGTGAAGTAGGACTGTGCTCAATTGTTCCAAAAAGAAGGGCTCCCAGTGAGCAGAAAGATGCAATAATAGTCTAGCAGGGTGGTGGGGGAGGAGGAGGGATGCGCTAATAGGTCAGCAGGGTGGCGGAGGAGGAGGGATGCGCTAAGAGGCCATCAGGGTCTACACTACAGGTAGGACTAAGAATTATTGGCTCAGGCCAGGTCTACACTAGACCCGGCAGCTCAGCTTAAAGTACACAACTCCAGCCACGTAGACTACGTAGAATACGGAGCCGGAATCAGCTCACCTTAAGCCAAACTTGTTGGAGGCCCCCACAGTGGGAGGCCGAAGGGATCAAATGTTCCCGTTGGCTTCCCACACAAGCAGGAGTACAGTCACTGGCAAGAGCACCCTCTGAGTTTGATTTAGCGAGTCTTAACTAGACTCACTAAATCAAACTCCAGACGATTGATTGTGGCAGTGGCGACCTTCCTTTTAGTGAAGACAAGGCCTTACTCTTCAACAAAGAAGACTGGGGTTCAAACTAAGCATAAACTTGCCTGTTCTGATGATGTATGAGCATTGATTTGGGGCTTCCAAAGGAAGTTTTGGAATCACCATCCCTGGAAGACTTTAAGACCAAGATACAGAAGCTCCTGTCAGGATTTGTCTGGGTGTCCACGGCCCTGCGTTAGCCCAGAGGGCAGGACCACATGGCCTGCCAAGGTCTCCTCCCGTCCTATATTTCACGGACTCTTTGTTTCTGTTTAGCACTTGAAGAAGGGAAATGTATTCTGCTTGAAAGTCATTTATTCACTTTGAGTCTCTCTGGACCATGAGTATTAAGTGGGCGATCCCCCTGAATCCCTATGCCGAAGACCTGTGCGTTGCTCTTGAACAAGTAATACAGCAGATCCATTGTATTATTTATGAGCGTCAGAGGGATGGGTTAGTACTGAGGGCTGGTATTGCCCATTGGCACAGGGAAGACATTCATCCAGAGCAATTTTAAGAAACAGAAAGAAAAATGGAGACGGAAAGGAAACCAGAGGTCCAATGTTTGGATACAACACCATTTTTTATTTCAATGAGCATTGGGCATTGCACTCACAGAATGTAGCAATGCAGAGTACAGAGAATGTATTTTATGGGTTGCAAGAAGAACTACCCACAATTACTGACTCCAAGAAAATGCATCTGACAAAGTGGAGTTTGGCCCATAATTGCTGCTGCCAAAATAAATCTGCTAGTCTCTAAGGTGCCACAGGCCTCCTGGTTGTTCTTGCAGACCCAGGTGAACAAGGCTGCCTCTCTGATACGATCTTCAAGGTGATCGTGCTGCATTTTTGTAGATGTCGATTTGAAAATCACATCCCATTTTTCACAACATTTAAGATTCTCACGGACATTTCAGCATCAGATAGGGCAAAGCATAGGATTAATGTGAGCATAGGATTAAGCTGTAAAACCATTGAGACCATCAAGCTAAGGGACAGAAGGCATAGGGAACATGATTTATTCAGGCAGCAAACGCTTTCAACACCCCATTAATTTCAAGTGCAATTGCAGGTGCTCATTTCTGGGTTGTTCCTTGCTCCACAGAACTTGCTTCTGGGTTTAACATGGCCCACAACCTCCAAAACGAGAAGGATAGCACTTCCTATCATATCTCTTCCCATAGCTATATAAACCCCCGTATGTACCACCGGAGACACTCCCAGCACTGACGGACCCACCGAAGTTGCCGCCTGCATAGGAACCCCCGTAGCCATAGGGGACATTTGGTAGGGAAGTTCCCACGAAGCTCTCTTGAGGGCAGGTGGCGAGAATGGGTCCTGGGAACCGCACTATCACTGGGGGTGGATAGACCACGGCACTTGAGTCACCGCACGATGTAACACAAGGCTGGTTCCAGGCATCAACGTATGGTTGTGGGCAGACGTCGGGACAGCATGACGGGCGAGGGCAGCACAGATCTTTGTGAGAAGACATCGTTTGGGGTTCTGGTAATCCTGAAACACACAGCGGGGAACCCGATGCACACAGTTATGGAACATTCAGCACAAACTAAGAGATTCACAGCTCTGTTTCTTGGGGCCATCAGCCCAGCCCCCCTAATCCTTCTTTTAAACCTTCAAAAAGCTGTCCTAGCACACTGCCAGTGAACATCCCATTCACTACATCAGGGAACCATCAAGCTGTAAACTATAGGACATAAGGGGGTTTATTCTAATGGCATCTTATTAGAGGCACAGTGGATGTGCCCTGCCCACCACTGAGTGACCCATGCATAGCACTCAAACTTCCCGGATTGGTATGCTTTTGGGCAGGGCACCCACCTGGGCAGAGGGAGTCACAGTTTAAAGTTGTACCATTAAGAAAGTTAGCATTGCCCTCTTGGATCACATCCGGGGTCCACCTTGTCCATGTCTCTGGGCTCACGTCTATTCTTACTGCATGGAAATCAAGTTTTTGGCATTTAATTTAGTGGGTCTAGTAAGGACCCACTAATTTGAACACCAAGGGCTACCCCAGTTGGTTCTGGTACTACTCAATTTGTGAGGAATAAGCAAAGCCAATGGGAACATTTGCTCCTGTTGACCTTCTGTTGTGGAGAAGGTACATTGAATTCAGTTCCATTATTTACATAGCTGGAGTTACATATCTTAAGCCAACCTTCTGGGTCTAATATAGACCTAGCCTAATAGTGTAACCATTATGTACTACAGATTAATGTGTAATAACCCGAAGCTGTCCATGCCCATAAGGAGGGGTTTCTTCCTAACACCTAAAGCAGAGGCCATGTTTGCCCAGGAGGAGGACACATCTGTAGCTCTTACAAACTCTTGGTTTCAACTGCAGCTTCTGCTCTGTCCACTAAACAGGCAAGTTGCAGTTCAGTAGCTCCAAATGAGAGCTGATCTTCACACTGTGATGTGGCCAATAGCAACAGTGCATCAGTTAGATCAGGCAACGTGTCTTTATAGACAAAGAGTCAGTGGAACAAAGTCAACACACAAAGGGTACGTCTAGACTACAGGCTTTTGTCGACAGATGTTTTGTCTACAGATACTGTCAACAAAGCTTCTGTTGACAAAGTGTCTAGACTACATCCAGTTCTGTCGACAAATTGTTGACATGACAGTGTAGATGAAAAGGACAGTGTAGATGCAATAACGTCTTCTGTCGACAGAACTCTGTCAATAAAAGGCACTATTCCTCGTAGAATGAGGTTTACAGCCATCAACGAAACTGCTGAGTTCTGTCGACATTATGTCGACAGAACTCAGTGGCAGTGTAGACGCAGGTACAGTTTTGTCGACAAAACCCTGTAGTCTAGAGCCACCCAAAGTATAGCAATGCTGGGGTTTGTCCTAGCGCTGTAAGGAATTCTCATATCTAATCCCATCATGTAATTTAAAGGGAGTGGAGGGTCCCAATCCCAATTGCAGCTCTGAAAATCCCAACCTGTTATTTTTCTAGAGAGCATCCGTCAAGGTGTGCAGCTGGCAAGCCGCAGAAAGCCAGCAATGGAAAGCAATAGGTCTCTTTCACCAAAAGCTCTTCAGTCCCAGAGTATTGGGGAACAATTCCATTTATATTTAGAACAATCACAAACCCAGCAGTTGGTGTAGATGAAGTTAAATAGACTTACCCAGCTCACCAAGGGGTTGAAGACAAGAAGAGTGGATGGAACAACCTGCCATTCCAAGCACTTTTATGTGGTTTCTTGGCCAATGGGAAGCAAAGGAAACACCCCTTGTGCCCTCACACCTGATCACTAACCAAAAAAATGTTTTCTTGCCTAGGTAATTCCTCTTATTATTGTCATGGCTTTGATGGTGGTTAATCTATTACTCAATTTTCAGTCCCACAAAGGATGACATGCAGGTTACACCCTGCAGTTCCCTTCCTCCTGACTCTTTACACACTAGGTATTTTCCTGGTATCATTCTACTAGCTTCCCCGATATCAATTAGGGAATAAATTGAACTTTCATTCCATCAGTCTGCTTTGAATAATTTCACAATGTGAAGGTGACTCAAGGGTGTATCACTATTTCTCTCTTCTCGCTTGCACAAGATTTCATGCTAATTCTTTGTATCCAGACTAATACCCAATTAACTGCAAGGCAGAGGTCACCTTGGAACATTTGGGAGGATTGGAAAAATTCTTCTGCATGCTTAGGATCCCCATCTCCAGTGCTTCACTGTGCGATTGAGCCATTACGATTTGAAATCAATGGATTTCAGTCCATCCAGTGGCCTTCAAACCAGGCCTTCTGGGTTACAGCACTAGCCCAGAGATGGGGTAATATGTGCCCCATGCTGACATGAAATCCCTTTAAAAAGCTTTGAAATTACAAGCCAATTCGAAGTGGTGCATTTTATTTCTGTTTACCCCGACTTTCAACCGAATGTGACTGGACATTCCAGTATGAAGAGCTGTCTGGTCAAGTTAGCAACAGTGTAGAGACTGGGACTCAGGAGGCCACTCAAAGTCCATCTCCTGTAGGCTTCCTCCTAAATTGCAGAGAAAAGTGGCATGGGGGAACGTAAAGAGTGCAGGGTTGTCTACAGGTGCGGATTAAAATCTTGGAACTGCATCTCCAACCACGACCTAAGAAGACAATGGTGTTCTTCAGAGGCAATACTCCTGACAAGACTCAGGAAGATTCACATGAGAGAGAGGAAAACAGTCTACTTGGAGCATAATTTGGGTTAATGTACTTTTTTGAGAGTGCTCACTTTTCAGCAATCCTGCCCCCTCCATGCCTGTTTTAACACAGAATGCAAGGTCCTTCTCTTTTGGAAAACTACCCAACCACTATGAGTAAAATGTTTAAACTACGAAATACACCTTCATCAGCGCTTTCTGTGCCCATGTAGTTAAGGAGAAGACTCCAGCACTCTAAGGGTGTGTCTAGACTACAGGGTATGGTCGACAAAAGTTGGCTTTTGTTGTCAAAACTATACCTGTGTCTACATTACTGCCGTGTTCTGTCGACAGTAAGTCGACAGAATGTGGCAGTTCTGTTGACAGCGGTAAACTTCTTTTTATGAGGAATAATGCCTTTTTTCGAAAGTACTCTTTCGAAAAAAGACGCTATTGCATGCAAACTGTGCTTTTTCAAAAGAGCGCGTCAAGAATCTCTTTTGAAAAAGCGGCTTGCTTTGTTGACAATACTGATCGCAGTCTAGACGCTCTTTTTCAACAGAGGCTTTGTTGACAGTATCTGTGGACAAAGCCTCTGTCGAAAAAGGCGTGCAGTCTAGACATAGCCTCAGACTCTAAGGGTATGTCTAGACTGCAACCCTCTGTGGGCAGAGGGATGCAGGTTAGGCAGGTCGACATTGCAAATGAAGCGGGGATTTAAATATCCCATGCCTAATTTGCAAAAAAATAGCCACTGTTTTTGCCGATTCGGCAATTTGTCAGCCAAAAGGAGCAGTCTATGGGGGATCTGTCGAGAAAGAGAGCCTTTTTCAACAGATCCTGTAAACCTCCTTGCAGGAGGCATAAGGGAACAGTCGAAAAAGGCTTTCTTTCTCGACAGATCCCCCTCTAGACAGCCACTTTTTGCCGACAAAGTGCTGAGTCAGTACAAACGGTGGCCATTTTTATGCAAATTGGGTGTGGGATATTTAAATCCCCTCTTCATTTGCAATGTCGACCTGCCTAATCTGCATCCCTCTGCTGACAGAGGGATGCAGTCTAGACATACCCTAAGACTCTAGGGACTTACTAGAGGACTGCCCTTTATAAGAGATTACTTTGCATTGTGGTATATATAATTTTGGAGGTTAGACCAATGCTCATATTTTGCTTTGTCCTATTTGCTACTGAAATGGTCTGTGTCGAGTATCTTAATTTAGTGGCAAACACGTTATGGTTTTTAAACTCTACAGTAGCAGGAAAGAGATCAGAACAGGATTTAGGTAACACATCATTTTGTGGCTAGTGCTTGGCTGTAGCTCTTACTGTACCCTGAAAATACATTCTCCTCTTCTGCTTTTCTTTTCCCAGGCATCCTTCCTTTCCTTCCCCATGCAGATTGACTACGATGCAGGGATGGTACTGTCCGTCTCCCTCAAGCATAGGCGCAAGAAGAGAATCAATTATCTTTACTGTTCAACGGTGGGGGTGGGGAACAAGAGAGGTTACCAGCTTGTTACATGTGCCATAGATAGAACCAAACTCAATAAATTACTTTCACTTAATATAGATTTCCCTGCTCCAGCTATGATGCAGAATGGTGCAGACAAATGTTCCCTTTAGGTTTTTCCATCTATGTGCAGAATAAACTTTGTTCTATGCACCAAGGCATGGGCGGATGTGCACCACCAGTAGAAACACTTGTTCCTGGTGCTCTGCTAATCAGCTGGGCAGCACCTGAATCTCCCCTGGGTGGCCACCCAAGCACACAGCTTACAGGGAACACTGCTGCAGGTCCTGAGATTTTTTAATCTTGACTAAGCACAGGCTGAACCTCTGTGGTCCAGAACTCTGGTCTGGCAAAGAGCCACAGCAGCAGAGGCAGCCAGCGGCTGGGCGCCTGCAGGATCAGCAGGAGACCCAAGGCCCGACCTCCCCTGGTCCGCAAATCCCAAGGGAGCCAGACAGGGAGGTCCACTCTAAATTATGACTGTCCCCTTCTCCTGTGAAATTAGTGAGGATCAGGGAACTCTACACTCTACCTGGCTTTGAAATTAGCAGCCTTATTTAAACAAAATCAAAATAACTTTTGAAAGCGCAAGGACACACACATGGGGAAATACTTTCACCATGGAAAGATTTTTTTAAGCTTTACTCCAAAGTGAAGAAAAATTATGGTAGTGACACAGGGTTTGACTTGAATCAGATTTAGCTGGCTGACCAAAGGGGAAAAGCCAAGGGAAGTGGCTCGAAGAACCCTAAGTCAAGGCATTTGTCTGATGTTTTTACCCAAAAGGAGGATGTGAGACACAGGAATTCCTTGTCACCTACAAGAACTACTTCCTTCGGAAAACTCCTTTCTTTCCTGGCAATTGCTTTGATCCCTCATTAACACTATTAGTTAATTCTCACTCCCAGAGTGACCCATGGAAATTGCTCTCCTGCAAGGAATCTGTGGCAGTTCTGTAGATAATCAACAATTATCCTGGGATCTCATGAGGAAGATGGAGATTTTTTTATATGCCCACCATCTACTTAGTATGAGCCCTCTTCTCCTGCCCCCTGAAATCCAAGGGCCTATTTCCAATTAATTGAATTGCCTTCGAATACCCTGCGGTTGGCAATTCTCTAGTGAAAAAAAGATCAGTTAAAGGACTAGGCGCCATTTATATTTCCCTTAAACGTTCCAGGTAGGGCTAAAGAGGACTGAAATGTAACAGATCTGTGCGCTAGCTGACTGCTCTGGAAACCCTTTCCTTCTCCCATGCTTGGAAAATCCCATGAGGGGAGTTTTGAACCCAGAACAATGACATTCCTGAAAATCTGCTGCTGTTTCACATCCTAGGCTGCTAGACCCTCCAGCCTTAGCCGTGGTGTGTTGTCTCTTCTTTGGGCTCGCTCCGAGGGTTGCCAGCTGTCCTGGATCGAACGGACCAGGTGCCATTTGCTGTAATGGAGTCTGGTCTGGGAGAGCTGGCAATGTAGCCACAGATGGAGGTGGCTGTGAAGCCCCAGGGCAGCAGCAGGACCCTGAGAAACAGCGGCAGCTCCAAGGCTGGTGACATGGGCTGAGGGAACGGCGGGATGCAAAGCCCATGGGGATGGTGGGCCCCTGGATTCGGGGCTGGTGGAGCTGGAGGTGAACAGGCTCCTGAGTGCAGGAAAGCCAGGTGGAAAATCCAAGGGTTCTGCAGCACCTCCTCCCCCTCCCCCGCCTCTACTTCCCATCCCTGCGTGTTGATCCTGTTCCAGTTCTACTCAGAAAGCTGAGGAGGGATTTACCGCCAGTGTGGATCCTGCTTGAAGCCAGTTTCCGGGAGAGCACTGTTACCCACGAGGCCTGCTTTGAATTCCATTGACCATCAGCTTGAAGACCTTCAAACACATACTGGCTCAAACTCAATGAAGCGTTATTGGAGGGGGATTCTAAGCTGCCAAATACACTGTCCTGTTCCACAAAGCGTGGCAAGTGCAACTGCCATCTTACTGCAAATTCGATTCTAGTGGGGTATAGTGAGCTAAGATCTCCTAGGCCTAGGACAAGAAGCAAGGGGCTAAAATTGCAGCAAGGGAGGTTTAGGTTGGACAGTCGGAAAAGCTTCCTGCTTGTCAGGGAGGTGAAACACTGGAATAAGTTGCCTGGGGAGGTTGTGGTATCCCCATCTCTGGAGATATTGAAGAGCCAGTTGGACAGACACCTGCCAGGGATGATCTAGACCATGCTGGGTCCTGCCGTGAGGGCAGGGGACTGGTCTTCATGACCCCTTGAGGTCCCTCCAGTTCTAGTGTGCTATGATTCTAAGGTGGAATCCTGAACACAACTGCAGACTGTGAGGGTGATGCAACCTGAGTCACCCTCATAGTGTGACGTTATTCAAAGCAGCATAATTAAAATATTCGCAGATTTAATCCCATGTTGACACCAAGGGAGGGAGGAGGGTGATACCAGGGAGGTGTCTTTCTCATAAAGATTTAGAATGACCAAAATAGCAGGGCGTCTTGAGCATATCACCCTATGTGGGTCTGAGAATTGAGCAACTGATTAACCAGAATCAAAG